AGTCCAACAAATGGCAATCTGTGGCCAATTGTACGGAATAGACATTTGAGATCCGCCGCGAGATTATTGTACATCCATTTGAATCCATCGAATACTACACCACTTTGCAAGTCATTAAGGGACTGACACTCCCCTTCCGGGCCCTCAAATACCTGCAAATCAGAGGACCCCGGAGCTACTCGAACAGCACACTATCGGCGCTGGAAAGTGCACTGTTTGTGTGGGCGAACACTAACATCACACAAATAACACTTATTGAGGGGAACGACACGATTGTGGTACCCGTGGAGGGTCTCTATAGCAGCACTTTTGCCATCAAATCCGTGTTTAACGTGAGACCTATCGGTCAACGGAACGGATATTTGGACGCTACCATCGTATTGGGGGTCGTCGTAGTCGTGTCACTCGTGTCCAACATGTTGTGTCTCATGGGTTACATACGTAGACGTTATCTGGTGGACAGGGGTCAGGCATTACACGATTATCGCGCACCACTCAATGTGTATGGCAACTGCGACCGCAACTTGTGAATGTACTATACTGTACCTTGGTAGTATAGTTTATAGTTTCTTATAAAAATTCATTCGTAAACCATTTGTTTTTACTTATCATTTAATTCATGTCTACGTTTGCATTCAATTTACAACTGATCGTAAGTTCTGTCATATTTCACACATAATTTACTATTTGAGTCTCAATTCAATTATGTTTACAAATATTTTAATAATCATGGTAAATTTAATAAAATTTATTAATCGTTACAAAATGATCATAAAATACATCAAATAAATGAGAAATATTAGTTAGCATTTGAATAATACGGTAAATTAGTAATCAATGGTTCAGTCGATAGCCTCCTTTTGCTCCCAAATCTGTATATAACTCTCGGATAATGTGATCATTTGTGGCAATATCTCAGACACGTGTAGGTCCTGCAACTCAAACCACTTCCCGGTGCCCTAAATATCAACACAAACATCACAAATGAATTAAACATTAATGCAAATCATGAGTACTGCTGCACACATACCCTATGCAAGACATGGCACCTATAGGTGCCTTTGCCGGCCTCGGGATCGCCTTCGTGGACCACATTAGCGATGAGATCGTAGACGCAGTGATTGGCGGTCCTGTGTTCAGGCGATAGGAGTTCCGAGAGGTCGACGTTCCTGAGCGGGAAGTTAACGATCGTTGGGTTCTTTTCGGTGAAGAATGTGTTTCTCGTGAACCGTTTGATGTATAGAATGAGATATTTGGGTAAAACTGTTAACTCGAATCTCTTCATCGATGAGTCTTTGTATGTCTTGTACTCCTTCTCCTGTGCGGGGGTTCAGGACAGACACACAGTCAGTACAGCCATAAGTCAGGCTCTCTCTCATCAAAGAGAGCGAGAGAGAGAGAGAGAGAGCGACATTGAGTGCATACCTGAACGCCATTAAACTTGGAGAGAATGGTAAAGAGCGGGACCTGAGGTATGATATTGTCTGTGAGCTCATCCCTGAACAGCGGTTGTGGCGGCAAATCGATGGTCAGGTAGAGGAACGGTATCTCTTCGCACACTTCGCGGTACTCCTCGTTGAGCATCAGTTGCAGCCTTTCATCGATTGTCTTATCCATTGGAATCATTTTCCGGGAATAGGTCTTCATTTTACCCCTAAATGTCTCGTAGATTATCGACAAACTGTCGTCGACTATCGGTGCCGTTGAACCCTCGGCTCCCTTTCCCTTCTTTGCCTTTCCACCAGTTTTTAGCGCCAAATGAAGTGTATTGAGAATCCATGAGAGGAATGCTATCGGATCTCCTGTTTTGGGACATCAATACATGGATTATCTTAAGACATGTTTGACATGTGATTGGAACACATCATAAGAGTGGATACAAATGACAAGATCTAAAGAACTGACACAAACAGTGACTCATTGGTGGCACACATACCCTGTTCGGTGATCTGGAAGCGCTTGTGCGACGACAGTACCACCGACTGCAACATCTCGTGCGGACTCACGTGAGCCTTAAAGTTG